CTCAGGCTCCCGCTCTACCACAGGAGTTTGCCAATGTAGTGAGGGCTGGACACCAAGATGCCACTATTTGGTGGATTCTTGTCTTTTGTTTTTTAAAGATTTATCTTATTATGATGCATCTTTTTAGAATCTATACTTTTATTGATGTCAGAGAGGAAGGGAGAGGGAGAGAGAGAAACATCCATGGTGAGAGAGAATCATGGATCGGCTGCCTCCTGCACGCCCCGTACTGGGGATCGAGCCCACAACCCGGGCCTGTGCCCTTGAGCGGGAATCGAACCTGGGACCCTTCAGTCCGCAGGCCGGCGCTCTGTCCACTGAGCCAAACCGGCCAGGGCGTGGTGAGCTATTTTAAATTGGGGTTCTTGCCCTGGCCAGTGTGGCTCAGTTGTTTGGGCGTTGTCCTGAGCCCCTAAAGCAGTGGTTCTCAACCTTCTGGCCCTTTCAATACAGTTCCTCATGTTGTGACCCAACCATAACATTATTTTCGTGGCTACTTCATCACTGTCATGTTGCTACTGTGATGAATCGTCATGTAAATATCTGATATGCAGGATGGTCTTAGGCGACCCCTGTGAAAGGGTCGTTCGATCGCCAAAGGGGTCGCAACCCACAGGTTGAGAACCGCTGCAAAGGTTGCCAGTTCAATGCCCGGTCAGCCGGGTTGCAGGCTCGGTCGGTCCCCGGCAGGGGGAGTGCAGGAGGCAGCCCATTCATGTTTCCCTCTCACATCGATGTTACTCTCTCTAAAAATCGATTTTAAAATACTTAAAAAAACAAATAAATTGCCGTTCTTTAGTGGGGAGGGGGAGTGTAGATAAAACAGAGGAATGTTGGCAAGGTATTATGCATGTTTCCACCTAATACAAGTATCTTCACCGCACCACTGAGACCATTACCCGAACGCAGATCATAAGGACGCAGGTTCAAGTTCGCGCGACGGGGCGGGCATCAGATTCGGCTCCAGGTGCCCCCGAGAGAAAGAGAAGCGGCTCGTGGAGGAGAAAATGTGACTTTCCACCCTGGCATTTTCCTGGGGCATTCCCAAGATTTAGCGCAGGGCACAGACACATCGCCACCACCTTCACGGCCATTTCACAAAAGCCGGGCACCCCCAGGTCCCCTCCCCATTTCCCCCCTCCCCTGCACGACCTCGCCGACACCCCGCCTGGCGGGCAAGGGGACCAGGGCGGGGGGCAGCCTGGCTTCGCTCCCAAGAGGCTGCCCTCTCCAGCTCTCCAGCCACGGGACGCCCTTCCAGAAGGAGGGGGGCAGCTTTGCAATCCCGTCCCACCACGGCTGCCCTCATTCCAGCATGCAAGCAAATAAATAAGAAAAACACCCGGCGGTAGGATTCCCGGGGGAGGAAGGGGGGGGGGCGGGGAAGAGTCCCTAATTGGCAGGGCGTGGCGGCCACAGCGCTGAGTGAGCCCCCGCCGCCACCCGGTGCGGCGCCTTCAGGGCGTGCGGCTGCGCCATCTAGCGGCGCCGCGAGGAAGCGCACGCCAGTGCAGTGCCTGGGCAGACAGACAGGAGCAGACGTGGCCACTTGGCCATTGGGGACAGGAGCAACTTAACTTCATTCATTCGTTATTTATTGAATGCATTTAATTAATTAATTTATCTCTATCTATTTACCTATCTATTCATCTATCTATTTGTTTAAAAATATACTTTTTAGCCCTAACCGGTTTGGCTCAGTGGATAGAGTGACGTCCCAGGTTCGATTCAGGTCAAGGGCATGTACCTTGGTTGCAGGCACATCCCCAGTAGGAGGTGTGCTGGAGGCAGCTGATCTGTTTCTAGTTCTCTATCCCTCTCCCTTCCTCTCTGTAAAAAATCAATAAAATATATATATTTTAAAAAATATATTTTTATTGATTTCAGAGAGGAAGGGAGAGGGAGAGATAGACACATCAATGATTAGAGAATCATGGATCGGCTGCCTCCTGCATGCACCCTACTGGGGACTGAGCCCACAACCCGGGCATGTGCCCTGACCGGGAATCGAACCATGACCTCCTGGTTCATGGGTCGATGCTCAAACACTGAGCTACACCGGCCGGTCTGGACTAAGTGCTCCCCGAAATGCCCCACTCAGGCTAAATTCAGTGGCGCACCTGTCATCTTGTTCTGAAGTTATTTTGTTTTTGTTCCTCCTCACCCGAAGGCATTTTTTTGTTGATTTTTAGAGAGAGTGGTAGGGAGCAGGAGAGACACAGAGAGAGAAACATCGATGTGAGAGAGACACATCGATTGGTTGCCCCCCACACGTACCCCAACTGGGCTAGGAATGGAACTTGCAACCCAGGTACATACCCTTGACCGGGAATCGAACCTGCGACCCTTCGGTCCACGGGCCGACACTCCTGAGCGAAACTGGTTAGGGCTATTCTTAAGGGATTGATTCTACTTTATCAAAGCCATTTTGTACCAAAGGTCTAAGAAAGAGAAAGGTCAGTCATAACTGAAAGTGGATTTGGCCCTTAAAAATAAACAACACATAACATTTCTCAAATATCCAACTGTATTTTATTGTGGTTGCATTGTTAACACAGTCTGCAGTTAGGGTCAGAATTCCCAGGCCAATAGATTTTTTTTTAAAACCGTACCACAGGAGTAAACCTTCGAAGGAGTGACATCTAAGCCTATATAGATTTCCATTTCTAAATACAGTATATTACAGAAGGTTAAATATACCACCTCTGTTTACTTACAACTATAAAAAGATACATTAACTATATCAATTATAAATAATGTCCCATTTCATATTAAAGGCATTATTATTATACAATGACAGAATAAGAACCCTCTAATGTCTTCCTATCAAGGTTAGTGTCTATAATTACTTAAGATAAAAATCCTGAAAATTCAGTGTATGCGTTAAGTCCTGACTTCACAAGTTACTGACAGTGTAAGTGGTAAGAACTAACTGGTGCTGAGGCGACAGTGAATGGTGGATTGCCTATTTCTGGAAAAAATGATAACCCTGGCCCAGCCAGCGTGGCTCAGTGGTTGAGTGCCGACCTATGAACCAGGAGGTCACGGTTCTATTCCCCGTCAGGGCGCATGCCCGGGTTCACCCTCCATCCCCAATAGGGGGCGTGCAGGAGGCAGCCGATCCATGATTCTCTCTCATCATTCATGTCTCTCTTTCTCTCTCTCTCCCTTCCTCTCTGAGATTTAAAAAAAAAAAAATAGGACTCTTTAGGACTCTACAAAACCAGGGCTGTGTTGAACAGCAGCCTGTGGAGTAGTGTATGTTTCGCACATCTAAACTGGGGAAAAGGAACATTGGTTCAACCACTAATCCAAGTGACCGAAACGCATCCTTTGTCAAAGCGAGTTATGGACCTGCTTGGGGACATGCGGGACTTACTGACCCTCGCATTTGCTCTGCTGTCGTAAGAGTCAGGACATTGGACCGGTCACAGGGACGGGGACACCTTGTCCTAGTCCAAAGGCAGGGTTGGTTTGAAGCTGAGTCCCAAGGTCAAGGTCAAAATGTAGTCCCCGGAAGACTTATGCCCCTTCACACCCAAGACCTTCAGTAACCTTCCAGGGGACCTGCTTCCCAATAGCGCCCCCTAGTGGATCCTTGCAATTCTGTTTGGGTGGGGTTTTTTGTTGTTTTTTTTTTAACTTAGTGCTATTCCTTTCCATATAAAAGGTAGGAGGGGCTTGTGAATGGGAGGGACAGGTACATGGGAGGGACCCCCAGGCACAGGGCCAGGTTTCTAGAACATTCAGGGACGTGTCTCCCAAATTCTTCCTGGAGTAGAGTCAGCAAAGCATTTTGAAGCGACTGCCGGAGACGTCACACACCACTTCCTGTTGGCACGCCCTGAGCCTCCTCACCATCCCAGGGGACCCGGTTGAAAAGGGAAGCAGGTGCCCAAGCCGGTGTGGCTCAGTGGATAGAGCGCCGGCCTGGGGACCCAAGGGTCCCGGGTTCGATTCCTGTCATGGGCACGTATCTCGGTGGCAGGCTCCTCCCCAGCCCGGGCACGTGCAGGAGGCAACCCATCGATGTGTTTCTCGTGCATCGATGTTTCTCTCTGCCTTTCCCTGCTCTCTCCCACTCTCCCTAAAAATCAATGGAAAAATAGCCTCGGGTGACGATTAAAAAAAAAAAAGAAAGAGAGAAAGAAAGAAAAGCTCCACAGCGCCACCTCCAGGCAGAACTGCAATTTTACCCCCCAACATACTGGTCAATGCAACAGGAATGAGGAGGAAATGAGAATCTCTCCCATCCATCCAGTGGATGTAAGGTCTCCAGGAGAGAGGGGGCCAGGGAATGAGCGAGGTCGCTCTCTCTCCGGCAGGTTGGATGGATGGGCCACATTCAGACGTCGGAGGACAGAGCCCGCCTTCCCCTCAGGGGTCCTTGTCGTCCAGTTTGATGGTGACTGTTTTCACTTCGGTGTATTCCGACAGCGCGTACTCGCCTCTGTGGGAGAGAGAGAGAGAGAGAGAGAGAGAAAGAGAGAGAGAGAGAGAAGCGTGTGAGATGCCTGTGATCCTCAGCCCACCCATGGCAACTGTGTTCTATCTATTTTAAATATATTTTTATGGATTTCAGAGAGGAAGGGAGAGGGAGAGAGAGAGAGAAACATCCATGATGAGAGAGGATCATGGATCGGCCGCCTCCTGCATGCCCCCTACTGGGGATCGAGTCCGAAACCCGGGCATGTGCCCAGACCAGGAATCGGTCCTTTGGGGTTAGCTCGGCATTTTTGAGGCTATGCTCAGTGGTTAAAGCGTCGGCCCCCAGACCGAAGTGTCCTGGGTTCGAGTCCTAGTCAAGGGCATGTACCTGGGTTGCAGGCTCAATCCCCGGCCCTGGTCGGGGCACATGCAGGAGACAACCAATTGATGTGTCTCTCTCACATCAATGTTTCTCTCTCTGTCTCTCCCCATCCCTTCCACTCTCTCTTAAAAAAAAAATCCATTGGGGGGAGAATCAATGGAAAAAATATCCTTGGGTGAGGATTAACAACAACAAAATAAAAAATAAATTTAAAAAGCACCTTGAAGAAAGAGAAATTACAGGCTTCTTCTTAAGACCAGCCGAGGCACAGGCCCCGGAGGGCCCGTGGGTGGGCGGCAAATTGCCAGCCCAGCCCGGGCGACGGGGCCGGGGAAAACCATGGAATTCACCGAGCCGGGTGCCAGCGGGAAAAGGGGAACTTCTTGCAACATGAAGACATTCACTGGAGACAGCGGAACACGGAAATCGGTTTCCAAGGCTGTGTCCAGGCTCCTTGTGAATTATGGCCGAGGACTTTATCAAAAGCCTTGGGAAATATGTGCCAAGGGTCAAAAACACAGACATGCGGCCCGGCCGGCGTGGCTCAGCGGTTGAGCGTTGACCTATGAGCCAGGAGGTCACGGTTCCTTTCCGGGTCAGGGCACATGCCCGGGTTGTACCCTCGATCCCCAGTAGGGGGTGTGCAGGAGGCAGCCGATCCATGATTCTCATCATTAATGTTTCACTCTCTCTCCCTCTCCCTACCTCTCTGCAATCAATTAAGAAATATATTTTTAGAAATAAATAGAGAAATAATAAGTGACCGACATGACCCACCGGACAGGTAGAAACAGGCGTGGAGGGACAGGGGCACTTACAATTCTCGGCCGTTTCCCGACATTTTAAAGCCACCGAACGGAGCCTGCGCGTAGATGGCGTTGTAGCAGTTGATCCTGGAGAGAGAAGGAGACGATGCTCACGGTTACCCGGAGGGGACCCGCCTGGATTTTGCACGTCCCGGCTCTGAGTTTTAATCACAGAACAGTGTGCTTTCAACGTCCGCCTTCTATGCTTCCCAGCAGAAACTGAGATTTGAATATTCCTGGCATAAAGCTTTTCGCTTATTTTTTTTCTCAACAATTCAGGAAATGAATAAACGTTTAAAAAATTAAAAAAAAAAAGATTTCAGAGAGAGCGCTGTGTGACCCTGGGCAGGTCACTGCACCTCTCTGAGCCTACATGCCCTCAGGTAGGAAATGGAGACGATAATGGTACCCATTTCACAGACGGCGGTCGCGAGGATCCAGCAAAGTAAAGACAGAGCTTGGCCCATAATATATGACTGTGATTTGATGAGTCATGAAGCCAGCCTGCCCCGAACCCCCCCCCAAAACACCCCCAACACTCACAGACAGTGCCCGACTTCCAAGCCGGGAAGCCAGCTTCAGGGGCTTTGTCCCAAGTTCTTCGTGAAAAACAGCCGCCGTGAAGCCCATATTCCAGGCTGTTGGCTCTTCTGATCACTTCTTCGATCGTTTTGAACTTCAGGATCGGCTGCACCGGCCCAAAAATCTATAATCGATGGCAAGAATGGCGGTGAGCACCCGGCCGGCGTGGCTCAGTGGCTGAGCGCCCAACTATGAACCAGGAGGTCACAGTTGGTTCGATTCCCGGTCAGGGCACATGCCCGTGTTGCACCCTCGACCCCCAGTAGGGGGCGTGCAGGAGGCAGCCGGTCCGTGACTCCCTCTCATCATTGATGTTCCTCTCTCTCTCTCCACCCCTCCCTTCCTCTCTGAAATCAATAAAAAAATATATTTAAAAAAAAGAAAACGCCCCCCTCACCAGATATCTGGGGTCGCTGACCCTCAGAGAAGAAAGACCCCCAGCCGTCCCTCCCCTCAGCTCAGCACCAGGCCCCTGGGCCGTCGCTCTCCCTGCAGCCCCCCCCCTCCCCGTACCTCCTCCCTGGTGATCGCCAGGGTGGCAATGACCTTCCAGAAAGAAGGTGGGCTTGATGACGAGCCCCCGGTCTTCCATGCCCGAGCTCCCACACTCCAGCTTGACTCCCTCCTTCTTGCCGCTCTCGATGAGCGAGAGGATTTTGTCGAACTGGTTTTGGTCAATCTGCAAAGCACAACAGGAAGAAACGCCAGGCTTTTTGGTTGTTGTTGCTTTTAAATATGTTTTTATTGATTTCAGAGAGAAAGGGAGAGGGAGAGAGAGAGAAACATCTATGATGAGAGGGGATCCTGGATCGGCTGCCTCCTGCACGCCCCCTACTGGGGATCCAGCCCACAACCCGGGCATGTGCCCTGACCAGGAATCCAACCATGACCTCACGGTTCATAGGTCGATGCTCAACCACTGAGCCACACCAGCCAGACAAAGCTTTTCACTTTATAGGAAAGGAACGACAAGGGGACAAGGAAGGAAAGGAGAATTATGGCATAGAGGAGTCAAAATCCAGAAACAAAACATAAAACAACAAATCCACACACAAAAAAACACAGATAAACTTGAGTATGTAAAAAAAAAAAAAAAAAAAAAAACAGGCAACACCATCCCAAGCAAAGTCAAAGGGCAAAATGAAGTGGGAGAATTTAACAGGTCACATCACAGAAACAAAACCGATCTTTCTAGTCCGCGAAGCGTTCTTAGAAGCAGGAAGGAACACGGTGAGCGACACCACAGCGCATCACGCTCGCACAGCTGATGGAACAGGAAACGCAAACGGCTGCGAACACTTGATCAGATGTGCGGCCTCACTCATGGTGAGAGATACGCGCACATTAAAGCCAGGCAGGTTGCCAAGCGAGATGGCACGCTTAACTATCAGATGGGCAGAGTGCCAAAGCCTGGTAATGAGGCTGCAGGTTGGTAGGAGCAGGGGGTTGATACATTCCTTCTGAAGGTGATTTGGCAATGCTTGCAGAAATGATAAGGGCGGCCCGGCCAGTGAGCTCATCGATCGACCCATGAACCAGGAGGTCGCTGGTTTGATTCCGGATCAGGGCACATGCCCGTGTTGTGGGCTCCATCCCCAGTAAGGGGCATGCAGGAGGCAGCCGATCCCTGATTCTCTCTCATCATGGATGTTTTTCTTTCTCTCTCCCTCTCTGAAATCAATAAAAAGTATATTTAAAAAATAAAATACTGGGGGGGAAAGGGAGAGGGGGCAAGTTGGACATATCCATAATATTACCAACAATAAAAAATAAAAATAAATAAAATAAAATATGCATAAAATAAAATAAATTTTTTTTTAAAAAAGCCCCTTAAAAAACCAAGCTTGGACGCTCCCCAGTAGGGGGCGTGCAGGAGGCAGCCGATCCATGATTCTCTCTCATCGTGGATGTTTCTCTCTCTGTCTCTCCCCTCCTCTCTGAAATCAATAACAATATATATATATTTTTTTAAATATATATTTTATTGATTTTTTTACAGAGAAGAAGGGAGAGGGATAGAGAGTTAGAAACATCGATGAGAGAGATCGATCAGCTGCCTCCTGCACGCCCCCCAGTGGGGATGTGCCCGCAACCAAGGCACATGCCCCCGACCGGAATCGAACCCGGGACCCTTCAGTCCGCAGGCCGACGCTCTATCCACTGAGCCAAACCGGTTCGGCAATAACAATATATTTTAAAAAATAAAATAATAACAACGTATTGGGGGCCTTGAAATTTTCCAAAGAGCCTTCGATGACTCCATTTTCCAGTCGAGGCAACTGAGGTTTGGAGGGAGCTTGCGACTTTCATAGCGTCCCGCATGGAGCCACACGCAGGCCCCGACCCCCAGCCTCCCGCGTACACACGGGCGCCCATGCGGTGGGCAGGCGGCGAGCGGGCGAGTCCTGCCGCATGATTCGAAACTCGCGGCTGGGCTGGACTTTGGCTCCAGGCACAGCGGCTGCAGCCGAGGCCGCTTCAATAATGCATGGCACGCCGGGCTGCCCCTGAAATATTGATCCACGGCCCGGCCCGGCCTGCGTCACCAGTGAGAAAGCGATACAGGATGTGCCCTTTAAAGAGGTTATAAAACCCTGTGCTTATGATCATTTTCATCCTGTCCTTGGCTGCCCCGACCAGGCCCCACCCCGGAGCTCTCCGCACTGGGGTTTCGTGGTTTCTTTTCAATTATTTACTTTAAATATATTTTGATTGATTTCCGAGAGCGAGAGAGAGAGAGAGAGAGAGAGAGGGAAACATCCATGAGGAGAGAGAATCATGGATCGGCTGCCTCCTGCACGCCCCCTACTGGGGATGAAGCCTGCAACCCGGGCCTGTGCCCTGACCGGGAATCGAACCCTGACCTCCTGGTTCCTAGGTCGATGCTCAACCACTGAGCCACACCGGCCGGGCTGGAATACTCTCAACGATAAAGATTTAATTAAAAAAATATTCAGTGGCTACCTGGGGCCCGTGTTCCGTTCTGGCGTCGAAGGGGTCCCCGACGGGCCGCTTCCTGGCGCGCTCCACGCTCCTCCTGACGAACTCAGGATACACTTGCTCTTCCACGAACACCCTGGAGGCGGCCGTGCAGCACTGGCCTTGGTTGAAGAATATTCCCTGGTGGGCGCACTCCACAGCCAAGTCCACTGGAGGGCGAGGCGGCACAGGCGGCGGGCGGCGGGGGCAGAGGAAGCAATCAAGTCGTTAGGGCAGGACTGGCCACAGCGGCAGCTCTGCCCACACAGGAACACAGGCTCCCGGACAAACTTCAGAAATTAATTTCGTTCCCAGCATTTCCCCAAACGCACGGAGGAGGGGACACATTTTGGGGTCGGCTGAGTTTGGAGTTGAAGAGGTCCCCCCTGCAGGACTTGTCAGTGCGTTTACTACTCGGATCAGCGCAGAGAATGGTCCCAGGCCCTGTTTCATTTGCTCAGGGGCCCCCCTTTTAAAAAAAAGATATCTTTATTGATTTCAGAGAGGCAGGGAGAGGAAGACAGAGAGAGAAACATCCATGATGAGAGAGAATCATGGATCGGCTGCCTCCTGCACGCCCCCTACTGGGGATGGAGCCCACAACCCGGGCATGTGCCCTGACCGGGAATCGAACCGTGACCTCCTGGCTCGGAGCTACGCCCGCTGGGCCGGACTAAAGTCCTTTGGAATGACATCTGGTATGTACTGTTGCAGCCCCGTTCTCTTGAACTTTGAAAGGAACCGAGCTTTTATGTTGCCCTGCAGAAGTTCCTAATAGGGGTACAGAACCCCACGCCGTGCTGGACTTGAGATAAGTTAGAGAGGAAACCCTGGGTTCTTCCTGGCAGTTGGCTGAGCTGAAAACTGAAGAACTGAGCTGGCATTGAATTTAACCCAGACCAGGAACGGGCCAGCGTGGCTCAAATGGTTGAGCATCAACCCTAGGAACCAGGAGGTCACGGTTCAATTTCCCGGGTCAGGGGCAAAAGCCCGGGGTTTCGGGCTCCATCCCCAGCAGGGGGCGTGCAGGAGGGCAGCCGATCCATGATTCGCTCTCCATCATGGATGTTTCTCTCTCCCCTCTCTGAAATCAATAAAAATATATATTTTTTAAAAAGGCCTTCGTCCAAAATAACTCATTCATTTCCTGCCAGGAGCCGGGGTGGGGGCCGCCGTGGCGGGGAACAGCGACATGTTCTCGTTGATATCATGCCTGGGATGCCAGCTGCGTCAGGATTTAATTTTGTGGCCTGGCACTGCCCACGGGAAGAGGAGATGGCTATGTCGGGTGTTTACGATCCTCGTCCGACCAACCGCCAAACAGGGGTCTTGTGTTCTCATTGTCGTTTGCTTCCCTGGGAGGAAAAGAGGGGGAGCTGCGGGGCAGATGGGGTGCCCAGCAATGGCGGCACTCAGCCAAATGGGAGTCCTGGCTCTTTAAGACGGGCGTTTGGAGCTCTGAGTGTGGGTCACAGTGGGGCCACACCCACGCGGTTCCCAAAACCATTAGCAACGCTGATGATGCTTCCACATGGGAACACCAAGTCGGGAACAACATAAACAGTCCATTTCCACAGGCCTCTGTCCCAGGGAAAGCCAGCTTCCGGAAGAGGACATGCTATCAGTCATTCACACCTTAGTGAGAAATACTGTTTGTCTCAGGGCTATTTGCAATTCCAACCTTTATCTGCATGCTCAATGGAAGGCTTTGTTCCTCAAGAAAGGAATTTCTGGCCCTAATGGGCAGGTGGGGAGGCTGTTCTTTGCAAGACATAAATATGACCCTAAGGGGCAGGGAGGGCAGAACAATGAATGCCTAAGAGTGGGACACACCTGCCCTGTTCCTCCTCCTCTTATTCCAGCCCCCTTCCCACTCAGGGGCCTGAGTGTCTGAAGAAGAAACTGGCTTTGTTCTCATGGCTCCCACTCCAAGGGGATGGAAGGTCAACTTGACCTTGAAGGGCAGAATCAGGCAGCCCCCTGGTGACCACCTGGGCATGCCTCCGTCCCATGGAGCTTGCTTTTTAAAAAAAAAAAATTTTTTTTTTATTGATTTCAGACAGGAAGGGAGAGAAACATCCATGATGAGAGAGAATCATGGATCGGCTGCCTCCTGCACGCCCCCTGCTGGGGATCGAGCCTGCAGCCTGGGCATGTGCCCTGACCGGGAATCCAATCCAACTCTGACCTCCTGGTTCATAGGTCAACGCTCAACCACTGAGCCACACTGGCCGAGCATCCAATGGCACTTGCGTTTCATCTCCATCTGTGTAGGCGAGCAGGGCCCAAGGTGGAAACACACCCCCACTGTGTGTGCCTCTGTGTGTGTGTGTGTGTGTGTGTGTGTGTGTTCCCCTTGGTTCTGAGTTCGGTCCAGGAAGCCTGGAGACACCCCCGGACCCCCTAAAGTGCAGGGAGAGACTCACGGTCGGCGTCGGCACACACGATACAGGGGTTCTTCCCCCCGAGTTCCAGCGTCACCCTCTTCAGGTTGCTGCGAGACGCGGCCTCTTTAACCAGCTTGCCAACCTTCCGGATGAAAAAAACAAACAAACAAAAAACACAAACCCGGACCGGATGGAACCTTGGACGTGGCCAGATGTGGCCCAAGAACATGTGCGTCACCCTCCCTCCCTCCCTCGGCCGCCCCCAGCACCCTGAGATGCTGGCCTGGCCCGAACCCCTGGCCCAGCTGCTCCACTGACCGGGCGGAGTTGGAGCCGGGAGGCCCAGCGATTCGCTCCTCCCCCCCCCCGCTCCCCTCCAGCCACACAGCCAGACAGGGGGGAGCCGGCCACCCCTCTGAGAAAGGGCTCCCAGGGCATGGGGGCAGCTGCTCTACCCCTCGCTAGTGAGGGAGACCCTTCTATTGGACTCTTCGGTAGAAGCTGAGGGAGCCCCTGAGATTTAGGGAATTTGGGGGGCTGCTCTTCAGGATGAGGGTCCGTTCTATGGATGCGGAATCTCGGAGGGAAGGCAGGGAGGGTGGGTGGGAGGTGATCAACCAAAGACCTTGTGTGTAGCCCGGCTGGCGTGGCTCAGTGATTGAGCGTCGACCTATGAACCAGGAGGTCCAGGTTCGATTCCCGTCAAGGGCACGGACCTCGGTTGCAGGCTCAATCCCCGGCCCCGGTCAGGGCCCGGGAGGGAGGCAACCAATTGACGTGTCTCTCTCACATCGATGTTCCTCTCTCTCTCTCTCTCTCTGTCTCTCCCCCTCCCTGCCACTCTCTCTGGAAATCGATTGGGGAAATTTCCTCGGGTGAGGATTCACAACAACAAAAAAATGAGGCAGGGCTGGGCTCCCCCAGGGCTGAGGCTGCGCCCCCAAACAAGGTGTGGGTGCATTTTATTTTATTTTAATTAAACAATTTTTTTATTGCTGAGAGAGAATCATTGATCGAGTGCCTACTGGGGATCAAGCCGGAAACCCGGGCAAGTGCCCCGACTGGGAATCGAACCGGTGACCTCTTGGCTCACGGGTCGACGCTCAGCCACTGAGCCACACCGGCCGGGCTGTTATCTACCTTTTAACCTTAACTACGACACTGTTTGTCCTACGGATGTTTCACATTTTTATTTTATCTTATCTGGCCATCCTTCCTGCCAGGGCTCCTGGGTTCCATTCAGGATGTATTTCGTTTGGAAACTGGCCCAGTGACTTTGGAAAACTGACCGTCCGCGTACTGAAACTCGGTCCAGTCCAGAAGGAACACAAGTCACAGGCCGGCCCCTCCCAGGAAGAGGGCACAGGTCCCCAGCGCCCCCCTCTCCCCCCCAGCCCACACCCAGCGAGGGGGCTACCTCTATGGACCCGGTGAACGCGATCTTGCTGATCCGAGGGTGGGATGACATGGCGGCTCCCACGGTGGGTCCGAATCCGGGCACGATGTTCACCACGCCCGGAGGGAAGCCGACCTAGGAGGAGACGGAGAAGGCACTGAAGGAAGGCCAGGGACCAGCGTCCACCATGGAGCCACGCGTGGGCCCAGAGGGTCATGGCTGAGTGGTGTTCCCAAGCAGAGTGGCATCCCCATTGCACGGTCTGGGCCTGGGTCACCCATCCACCCCAGGACCCAAACCCGGTCGGCCAGGGGGCCAGGGTGAGGTGCACACACCTCCTTCCGAGCAGCATTTTTCACCTTAAAAAGGCCTCTGAGCACAAAGACTGGTGGCCTGCTTGGCCGGCGTGGCTCAGTGGTTGAGCATCGACCTATGAACCAGGAGGTCACGGTTCGATTCCCGCTCAGGGCACATGCCCGGGTTGCGGGCTCCATCCCCACTAGGGGGTGTGCAGGAGGCAGCCGATCCATGATTCTCTCTCATCATGGATGTTTCTCTCTCTCTCTCCCTCTCCCTTCTTCTCTGAGATCAATAAAAATATATATATATATTTTTAAAAAGGTTGTGCATCTGACCCTATTAGCTTGGCGGAAGTGACATGAGGGGACCTTCTCTCCCTTTGCAACATAGACACTGGGGACAGTGTGACGGAGCCATGCTGCCTGGTGTGTCAGGAGGGGGGTGTCCCTTGGGCCGCTTGTTTCCCTGAAAGGCAGTTGCCTGGGGAGCGAATGATCACGGGTGAGCCTGGCTGGGTGACAGCTACTTAGGGGAGCTGCCCAGATGACCCCCCAAACGCCAGGCCCACACCTCTGACTATTCAGTTCCCTCCCAGGTGACTCTCCTGCAAATTCTTTAGAGAAAACACTTGCTCCTAAAGTAGGCTTGAGCCCATCATGCCAGCTACATCGTCTCATGCAGGTCAGTGGGAGGAGCGGAATTGCTTCTAGCAGCTCAGTGGGAGGAGCGGAATTGCTTCTCACGGGTCAGTGACCACTGGCAGGAGACAGAACCAACGGACTCTTGCCAAGTGAAACAGGCGTCACCCCCTTCCCACTCGCGGTTGAGCCGGCTCTGCTGTCACGCACGGCCCAGCTCGGCCGGGCAGCTTTATCTCGCGCCGGCGGCCTGCTCCCGGGGAGTGGGCATGTGACCGAGAACACATAATATTTTCCTTTTGGACGGCTCACCTCTTTGATCAGAGAGCCGAGGTAGAGGGCGGTGAGGGGCGTCTGTTCGGCCGGCTTCACGACGATGGTGTTGCCGCAGCACAGGGCCGGCGCCAACTTCCACACCAGCATCAGCAGAGGGAAGTTCCACTGCAACAGGGCACAGGGGAACGTGGGGGACCCGGGCCCACCCGCTACCCTGCTCCATGGCGGGCACTTGCTTTGGGGCTTAACGGGTAACATAGAAGTTTGCAATGATCAGAATTGCATTCCAGCCTGGTGCTTCCTACGTGCATTCTGGGGGAGGCTAATAGTTACTCTTTGGTAGAAGGGATTCCACGGTGCGTGCACTGCCTCCTCCTCTCGGAGGTTTACGTACAATGACATCAGCACCTTAAAGGCTCTGAGAAGGTCTGCAGGAGTTGTGGGCTTGATCCCCAGTGTGGGGCGTGCAGGAGGCAGCCAATCAGTGATTCTCTCTCATCATTGATGTTTCTATCTCTCCCTCTCCCTTCCTCTCTGAAATCAATAAAAATATATTTAAAAAAAACACCCCCAAACCAAAAACCTTGGTTCTAACGGGCCCATGGGAGCAGCAGGGGGAAACCCTGTACTTACAGGAGTGATGGCCCCACACACACCTATGGGCTCATGCCGGGTGAAACACACGACGTTGTCATCTGCGAGAGAGGTGACATGGGGGAGAGGACGACATGTGAATCTAGATCAGTGGTTCTCAACCTTCCTCATGCCGCGGCCCTTTAATACGGCTCCTCATGTTGTGGGGACCCCCAATTTCATTGTTACAAATGGAACATAATGAAAGCATAGTGATTAATCACAAAAACAATATGTGATTATATATGTGTTTTCCGATGGTCTTAGGCGACCCCTGAGAAAGGGTCGTTCGACCCCCAAAGGGGTCGCGACCCACAGGTGGAGAACCGCTGACCTAGATGAAGAATTTCAAGGGGGAACAAGACAGGACAGTAACCCAGAAGCCCACGAAGGTGTCAGTTCTGAGTCTGGCCTACGACACAAAGAGGCGGTGTTCAACTCAATTCCAAAAGCAAAAATTCCTGCCTGGCCGGTGTGGCTCAGTGGTTAAGCGCCGATCTACGAACCAGGAGGTCACGGTTCGATTCCCGGTCAGGGGCACATGCCCGGGTTGCAGGCTCGATCCCCAGTAAAGGGCGTGCAGGAGGCAGCCGATCCAGGATTCTCTCTCATCATGGATGTTTCTCTCTCTCCCTCTCCCTTCCTCCCTGAAAGCAATAAAAAATATTATTTTTTAAAAAAGCAAAATTCCTTAGTGGCAGGATGGGGGGACAGGGGAAATGGCCAGAGGCCCGCAGAGGAAGGGAAAGGCAGGGCCCCCCAAAGACTCCATTGGAGGCCCAGCAGCCCGTGCCGGCTCACCTGTGGGGATGGTCCGGCCCTGGATCTTGTCTGCCCACCCCGCAAAGTAGCGAAGGGTTTTGATGCAGCCCTCCAGGTCGATGAAAAAGGCGTGAAGGAACGGCTTGCCCGTGTCCATCGTCTCCAGGGTCTGCAAGGACCAGACATGAGCCTCAGACACCCTCCTTCTTACGTGCCAGGTGGTGAAGAACAGGGGGTGGGTCGTGGGGGGGCGGGTGAGGTGGGGGGCAGGGAGTTAGGGTCCCCGATCACTGATCCCCACACCTCCCAGTCCTCTGTGTCCCTTAGAGGGCAAGACACCGCATTTACAATAAGACCCGTTCCGACGGTCAGGATGCTTTGTCCTGTTTTTCTTTTATTATTTTAAAAATATTTTTAATTATACTATTTTTTTCCTTTTTTTTTTATCCTCACCAAAGGATATTTTTTCCCATTGATTTTTAGAGAGAGTGGAAGGGAGAGGGAGAGACAGAGAGAAACACTGATGTGAGAGAGACACATCGATCGGATGCCTCTCCCATGCCCCCGGCCAGGGCCAGAAGCCTGCAACCGAGGTACGTGCCTTTGACCGGAATCGAACCCAAGACCCTTCAGTCTGTAGGCTGACGTGCTATCCGCTGAGCCAAACTGGCTAGGGCCCCTTTTCTTCTTTCTTCTTTTTAAAAATAAATATGTTTTTGTTGCCTGGCCAGCAAGGCTTGGTGGTTGAGCGTCAACCTAGGAACCAGGAGGTCGCGGTTTGATTCCCAATCGGGGCACATGCCCGGGTTGCGGGCTCCATCCCCAGTAGGAGGCGTGCAGAGGCAGCCGATTCATGATTCTCTCTCATCATTGATGCTTCTCTCTCTCTCTCCCCCTCTCCCTTCTTCTCAAAAATATATTTTAAAAAATGTTTTTATTTATTTTAGAGGGGCACATGCAGGAGGCAACCAATCAGTGTGTCTCTCTCTCATTGATGTTTCTCTCTGTCTTTCCCTCTCTCTAAAAATCAATGGGAAAATATTAAAGAGAGAGAGAGAGAGAGATAGGACACAGTTTCCTCCATCGTGGCCTGACCAACCAGCGTGTAGTGGAAAGAGCGAGGGACGGAGCCCAGAGGGTCGGGCCACCAGCACAAAGACACACGGCCCCTCCCTGGGCGGCAAGGCCGGATGCTCCGTGGAAGGGAGCGGGCTCGCCCTGGCCCTTGGTGCTGAGGGAGGCCATGGGTGGAGGGGGGGGGGCGGGGAGATGGCGGGTCCTCAATGGCGGGGATTCTTTTCTATTTCCAGCCGGGGTCTCAGAGGCGCCCTTTGTCCCGCAGACAAGCAGCCCCAGTTGAGCCCAGGGCTGCAACTGCCCGCCATCCGAGTCTGCAGGAAGTGGCCGCCCCGACCCATAGCCCAGGGCTGCATTCTCCTTTTAGGGTCGCTGAGCGAGAGGATGATGATTTATAAAGGAAGAGAGGCCGGCGAGGCCCAGTGGTTGAGCGTCGACCTAGGAACCTGCAGGTCACGGTTCGATTCCCGGTCGGGGCACATGCCCGGGTTGTGGGCTCCATCCCCATTTTGGGGCCTGCAGGAGGCAGCCCATCCATGACTCTCTCTCATCATGGATGCTTCTCTCTCTCTCCCTCCCCCTTCCTCTCTGAAATCAATAAAAATATATTTAAAACATACACACACACACACACACACACACACACACACACACCTGAATTTGCACCCTGGCCCAGTTGCTCAGTGGTTAGAGCGTCGGCCCACAGACGGAAGGGTCTCGGGTTCGATTCCCGGTCAAGGGCACGTACTGGGGTTGTGAGTTCGGGCCCCGTCCCCCGTCGGGGCGCATGCGGGAGGCAACCAGTCCACGTGTCTCTCTCACGTCAATGTCTCTCTCCCTCGGTCTCTCCCCCGCCCTCCCTGCCACTCTCTCTAAAGATCCATGGAAAAAAGAAATATCCTCGGGGGGAAGGATTAACAACAACAGCAACAACAAAGACATAAAAACCGAATGTGCCAATCGCGGTCGTGTCTGGTCGCTTTCATGATGTGGCCAAGCGCGGGCTCTTACTATCCCGTGGGCACCGCGGTCCCGACGGCAGCGGTGACTGGCAGACAATAGGGGGAGGGGAGGGGCCTCGGGGGGCGGGGGGGAAGGTGGCCCTGCAGTCCCCGCTCCCCACGAAGACACTGACACTGAGGACAGGACGGGGAGGGGTGCCCGGGACCCCGAGTCCACACACGCATTGCAGACGGGTGAGCTCAGCGCCCGCCACGGGGGAAACAGAACTGTGTTTGAAAAAGCCAGTTTGGCAGCTGAGCCCGGAGACTGGCTGTCTTTGCAGGAAGAGCCACGCTGACCCGGGAGGGCGCTGCCCTCGCTCGGATTCGGGGCAAGCACGAGGGCCAGGGAGGGAGGGAGGGAGGAGAGCTCAGGTCCCCGGGCGATGCACCCCAGTGTTCCTCCACCCAGGAGCAATTGCAGCGTGAGGGATGGACTGCTCGTTCCTCCACCAGATCAGGAAAGGAAAGAACCGCCCGGCCGGCGTGGCTCAGTGGTTGAGCGTCGGCCTGTGAACCAGGAGGTCACGGTTCGATTCCCGGTCAGGGCACATGCCCTGGTTGTACCCTCCATCCCCAATAGGGGGCGTGCAGGAGGCAGCTGAGCCATGATTCTCTCTCATCATGGATGTTTTTCTCTCTCTCCCTCTCCCTCTCCCTTCCTCTCTGAAATCAATAAAAATAAATAAAAAAATAGAAGAGCTGAGCTGCCCCTCACGGGCGTGTACTCACGGCCAGGACCGCGCGGTCCCTCTCCACCAGGTCGGCCAGCTGGTGCAGCAGGCGGCCTCGGTTCAGGGCGTCCAGCCGGCGCCACGGGGAGCCCCTCTGGAAGGCGGCGTGTGCGGCCTCCACGGCCTTGTCCACGTCGGGCTGAGCGGCCAAAACAAGAGAGAGCGTGTCAGCTCGCGACGACACTGCAGTTCAGTACGGAGAGCAGCCGAGACCTGCTTCCCGCATGTGACGGACGAGGGAGGGGGTGGCTGGGGCTTTCAAGGGACAATTTACTTTTTCACACCTTCGGTCTTTCTCTTTCCTTTTTTTTTTTTTTTTAACAATAACCTTTAAAAAAACTATATATATAAAAAGCTAAATGTCGGTCCAACTGGTAGCTATGACGCGCACTGACCACCAGGGGGCAGATGCTCAGCGCAGGAGCTGCCGAGTGGCAGTGACTTGGCAGTGGCGGTTCTCTGGTGATGCATCCCAGAACCAGGGAGGAGGGAGCCCGATTCCTCGTGGGGCTGTGTGATTCCACCTTCGGCCCTGGGTTATGTTGTTGCTGGGGCTCTGTCGGCCCCGAATCTGGTTTACTGCACACGTGCGTTTGCGTGCCACACGCTGTAGGACAGCAACTTTGCAGAGTGCCTCTCACACTCGGGACCCTCGGGGATGTCAGAGAGCTGGTTTCGGCCCGATCCCCGCAGGCCAGGCCGAGGGGCCCACCTGCCAGAGGGACCCCGCTCACTCCACAGATGCCCATCTAGCCATGGCGATGCCCCAGGTGCGGCTGGCAGGGGAGGTACCAGGGGAGGTTGGCTCCAGGGCGTGTCTGGCCCTTCTCTCTCGCCCAGTCCTGCCCCGCTGGCCACCTTCTAATAAATTTCCTTTCGATGTGCACGAATCCGTGCACCGGGTCACTAGTATTATCATAATGAGCTAATTATAATATGTTAACATGATCACATGAGTTCTTCGTAGAAAAGAAATCTGGCAATTCCGTGACATTATTACCGCTGAGTGACTTGGTTAGCAAATCTTTTTCCTTCAAGTTTTCTTTTTTTTTTTTTTTAAGTGTCTCTCGCCAGAATGCTGCCTGTGGTGAAACACACCAGCCGGCAATGCTCTTGGGAAAGATCCCTCAATGCCTGCAGGTTGGAATCATGGATAAAAACCTTCCCTCTGGCCACGTGAGGAGGATACAGTCATCCTCCCAGATGGGGAAACGTCCATCTGCAGCCCCCGGTCCCTAACTGACCCCATTCTGGGCCCTGCGTCCAAGAAGCAGCGAACCCAGGTCCTACCCGAGAGGGGACCAGTCCCATCTCACACCTGAGCCGACCCCCCTCCTCATCCTTCCGCCTCCGGAACTGAGCTACCTGGGGTTGCGTGGGGCACACCCACCTTATCTCCTTCCTCCACCTCGCAGATTTGTTCCAGCGTTGAAGGGTTGTAGGTGGCGAACTTTTTCCCGCTCGTGGACTCGTGCCATTCGTTGTTGATGAACATCTACCCAAGAAAGGAAGTTGTAACTTTTTAGGCTTACGTCAATCATCTAAGCACAAGGCAACCTTTTTTTTCCTTTTTTTCTAAAGAACTGTTTACCCACCTTCAGAGAGAGAGGCAGGGAGAGAAACACTGATGTGAGCAAAACATCGATGTGAGTGGGCAACATGGATCGGCTGCCTCCTGCACGCCCCGTTCTGGGGATCGAGCCCACAACCCAGGCACCTTCCCTGACCGGGAATCAAACCAGTGACCCCCCTGGTGCACGGGACGATGCCCAACCAACTGAGCCACACTGGCCAGGACCAAGTCTCATATTCATAAGAAAGCAAAAAATATTAAAAAAATTTTCTAAAATCTTCTCTCTTTTTTTAAAGCAATAGCATGGATCACAGAGGAATAACTGAGTTATATCTATATATATAAAAGCCTAAGCAACCATCTGACCACTCGACCAGTAGCTATGATGTGCACTGACCACCAGGGGGCAGACGCTCAACATACCGGCATGGAAACATGGAACAGACTGATGAATCTCAGAGGGAAGGGGGGAGGGAGGAGGGCAGGAAGAGATTAACTAAAGACCTTATATGCATACTAGAGGCTGGGTGCACAGATTTGTGCACTGGTGGGGTTCCTCGGCCTGGCCTGTGGGGATCGGGCCATAACCAGCAGTCCGACATCCCCAGGGGGGTCCCGGATTGCCAGTTTGGCTCAGCAGAGAGAGCATCGGCCTGTGGACCAAAGGGTCCCGGGTTCGATTCTGATCAAGGGCACGCACCTCGGTTGCAGGCTCCTCCCCGGCCTGGGCCCTGGTCAGGGCGAGTGCAGGAGGCAACCCATCGATGTGTTTCTCTCACATCAAGGTCGCTCTCTGTCTTTTCCTCTCTCTCCCACTCTCTCTAAAAGATCAATGGAAAAATATCCTTGAGGGAAGATTAAAAAATAAAATACAGAGGCCAGCTCTGGCTGGGCAGGTGGGCAGAACCCCCACCGCCCCCCACGCACCCACACGGTGTGGAATCCGGAGCTGCCAGTGCCCCTCGCTCGCCGGCGCTGTGCCTGCCCTTCTGACTTTTGGGAGCTCAGCGCCAGGCCCCCAGGGAAACCTGCCCTCGGACGGACGGGGGCCAGCTTCAATTACAGGGTTATTCTTCCAGCGGAAACCGAATCCCTGAGTTGACTTTCGCCATCCAGCGGGCCCTCGCTGGGGAGCAGCGAGACATTAATAAGCCGGGGAGGGAGAAGCTGGCCCGGGAGGGCGTGCGGCCAGCGGCGGGAGAGGCCCATTTGGTCGGGAGGATGGAATTTTCGTGGCTGAGATAATAGAGACTGTCAGCGAAAACTGCTGAAATCCGGAAGCTTCCCCGTATCAGTTCCAAGGGGGGAGGGCGCGGAAAGTGAGAAGGTGGCAGCAGAGAATATACATAAAGGCGAGGGAGCGATCGGGTGTCTGTGAGACTTCACCTCCACGCATGTTCCTACCCCCCAAAAATTACCTGGTCGGTCGTGACATTGACCTGTAAGTCCTCTCTAACCAGCCACTTACTGTTTTTAAAACATATTCTTTATTGATCTCAGAGAGGAAGGGAGAGGGAGAGAGAGAGAGAGGGAGAGAAACATCAATGATGAGAGAGCATCACTGATCAGCTGCCTCCTGCACGCCCCACAGCTGGGGATCGAGCCCGCAACCCGGGCATGTGCCCTGACCGGGAATCGAACCGTGACCTCCTGGTTCATAGGTCGTTGCTCAATTGCTGGGCCACGCCGGCCGGGCTGTAACCAGCAACTTAAAAAAAAAAAATGCAGACTGCTCAACTCCAGCCGTATTTTTCCCATGGTGATGTTTCTAATTTAGCAGCGTTTTTTTCTTTAGACTACACTCGTAAGGGATCTCGTAAGCGGTTTCCACTGTGGGTTCCTGGAGAAAACAAAAACACAAATGAAGGAGGAGGCGGGCAGCGTGGCCGGCCTGCCTGCCAGTCTGCTCGCTGCGTTTTTTTCTTTATTTTTTATTGGTGGCTCATCCTCACCTGAGGGTATTTTTTTTCTCCATTGAATTTTAGAGAGAGTGGAAGGGAGGGGGAGAGACACAGAGAGAGAAACAGCGATGGGAGAGAGACACAGCGATTGGTTGCCTCCTGCACGCACCCGACCTGGGGCCGGATCCAGCCTGGATTCCGTCTGCAGCTCAGTATAAGCTCCGTTTATACTTCCGTGAGATCTGTCTCATACCCATGCACAAGCCCAGCGGAGTGATTCTGTCCCAGGCCCGTTATTCTGATTTGGGGCTCAAAACAATACAGCCGGCGCCCTGACCGGGGTTGCTCAGTGGTTGGAACGCCAGCCCGCAGACTGAAGGGTCCCAGGTTCGATTCCTGGTCAAGGGCATGTGCCTGGGTTGCAGTCATCCCCGATCCTGGTATTGCGTGCGGTGGGGGGGCGGGGGGGCAGCCAATGGATGTGTCTCTCCCACATCGATGTTTCTCTCTCTCTGCCTCTCCCCGCTCCCTCCTTCCTTCCCTCCCCTCTACTCTCTTAAAAAAAAAATCATTGGAAAAAATATCCTCCACGAGGATTCAAAAACCAAAAAAAAGTGAGAAGCAATGAAGGCGGTGGGTTGGACAGGGTCCTCCTTTGGCAAATTGGACTTCACCCTGGGAAATACCACCCTCAAGGCTCGGGCTCAGGCCCACCACCTCCGGCGCACCCTCCCCGAGCGAGCGAGAAGTGCCAAGAACCCGATCTGAAAAGTAACAGACCGTCGCCCGTTCACACGCTCCCCCCCTCCCCACGGCCGGCCGCCTTGGGCCTGGAGGGCCTCCACGCGAGAGTTCTGCGTCCCCGCCTCTTTCTCGGGCTCTGCAGGCTGCCTCTCCAGCCAGGGGTTCCCCAGGCCTGGCTCCGCTGGCCGCCCACCCTCCGGGCCCCACAGATGCTGGGGGGAGGCCTTTGCAGGGGTGGGAGCTTGCAGAGGCCTCGCACGCCCCAGGGAAGGCGGGTACGGTGGCCTGGGAACCCCTAAGGCCAGGGAACCCCCAAGGAGCCCGCCTCTCCGTTCCCCTCCATCCCTCTCTCTCTTTTTTATTGAAGGAAGAGGAAGAGAGAGATAGAAACATCCATGATGAGAGAGAATCATGGATCGGCTGCCTCCTGCCTGCCCCATGCTGGGGATGGAGCCTGCAACCCGGGCATGTGCCCTGACGGGCAATTGAACCGTGACCTCCTGGTTCCTAGGTCGATGCTCAACCACCGAGCCACGCCGGCCCGGCTAAGACGCTGCTTTCTATACGCTGGAT